ATCGAAAAGTTCAAAAGTCCATTTCAAGGGATCTAAGTTAGCTTAAAGATGCAGATAAGAAGCACAATCACAATACGAAAGCACTATCTCTTTCAGTCGAGAACGACGGGCATGCACACCTCGCTATATCCGAGCTTGCAGATCTCGCTCTACCTCTAGTCTCAGAGGGTATAAATTGGTATGACGATCTATTATGATAGGCTTAACTTTGTACTTTGCAGAGAGCTAGATACCCAGGTAAGTTAGAATGAATATGTATTAGCTGGGGTGTGTTATGAAAGAGTATGTACCCATGCTATATTCAGACAGCGATTGGAGACGAAAATTATCAAATGTCTAGAAGGTAATACTCTTGGTATTTAATAAATTCAACATGTTAACTTAAGAAAAGGTTTATTATCATTGCTTATAGCTCCCACGGACGTTCCCCTGGATCGGAGCCATCCAATCGCAAAAGACGCGTATTAGATGAGATCTTCTCTGATATGACTTTGACATCCAGTAATGTGAGTGTGACATGCATTTGAAGTTGTCTGTCGAGTTCCCTATCCGCTCAGAGAAATTGGGGAATGCAAAACAATTTTAAAAAGGCACTTTTCCTCGGAAGACGTTGCATTTTTTGCTGACATTATTTTTTTTCTTCAAAGTCTTTCCCATTTAGTTAGAGAGCAGTTGCAGGTAGAAGGACCCACTAGCGAATTTGAGCTCCTAAACATTCGACTAATGATATTCGAAGCTGGGCCGTTCAAAACTATCAAACGGTAGCCAACTGATTCTTCTCTTTCTATACCAGGATCTCATTACTGACGAAAATATGAAATTTTAGTGTCCATATAAGCAGGGAGATGTCGGCTGCACTGACATTAAAGGAGGCCATTGATGAGCTGATGGACCGGAGAAATGGGTTAATTTATGAACAACATCCTTAATAACAGTAGTAGGACGAAAAGTCAACAAGGGCAATCCTTTGCAAATCATTATCAAATTTATTCACTACCTGACTTTATTAAGCGTTATTAGCGACGAACAACAAAATGTGTTGCACTGAAGCTGTCATTAAACAATTAAGCGACATAACATATATGATTGCTGTTGTATTCTCAGCCGCTTCTCTCTCGTGA